TAGCAGAGCAGCTCCCCTGCTGCCGTCTATTGAAAGTCAGCCCTCAACACAAGGGTTTGTAAAAATAAGATAAAAGTAGAATATAAAAAAGAAGAAGAAAATGGGGGAAAAAAAGAGTTTTCTGTATAATCAAAGTATCACCACCTCCATTACTGCACAGCCAAAAAGGTGGGTCTGCCTTTGGACTCACCCAGAAATCACATTCCAACCACAGGCCCTGGCGGACTAGACCCAGCCAGCCCAGGCCTGTGACTTGAGCAGGCTCTTCAGCTTCAGGAAGGCCTGCTCGGTTTTCCCTGGATGCAGCACTAACAGAATCAGGTTCCTAACAGCATTGCTTTATGTGACAGGGTCATATAATAAAATGGGATTCTGGATGTTTCTCATAGACTGGAGTAACAAAATTTTTAGGAGTGCCAAAATTCAAACATTTACACTAAAATCTTTTTGTTAAATTGATCCTTGCTCCAGAAATATGAGTCCAAATTATTCATTATTCCACGTCTCCATAGACACACACTCCAATTTACAATGTAAAACCTCTGGGAGCCCACCAGAGGAACCGGAGGCTTCCTCACACTCTCCTCTAGCCCATACCTCTGCAAGTTGAATTTTTAATCATTTTAAAGCACTTGTAGGCATGCATTCAAAAGATTTTCTTGGAAATCTTTCCAAGTAAAATAAATATTTCTTAAGTAGTCAGAAATTTTCTTCGAAGCCTTCGGAATAGTAATCACATATATTCACACTATGCTGAATATCAAAGCCCAAATCAAGGGAATGGTGTTCATAATATAGCTTCAGTCTTAACATGTAGCTGAGCACTAAATTATCAAGGCATTTAAACTGACTGTGAGATAGGAATAAAAGCAGATTATTAGTCCTGAAGAAACTGAAAAAAAAAAAAGTAAAATCTAGGAAGTTCTACTGCTTAGAGATCACCAGAGTGCCAAACATTTGTCCCTGATAAAACACATCTTAGGTCTCAATATCAATAGAGATAATCAGATGGTTGGGGGAGGAAGGAATAGGTGGCATCCAAAAACAGTGGCTGACACAACAGAGAGAGACTTTGGCTCACCTGACTTTTTGCCAAGTTTCACCAAATAAAAAGGCAGGACTCTCTTAAGATCAATGGCTCTTGATCCTTGCTGGATATTAAATCACCTGGGTACTTTTTTAAAAATACCAGTGCCTAGAGAAATACCCAAAATTAAGCAAATAAAAGTCTTTGAGCATCAATATTTTTTAAGAGCTCTTCGTGTGACTCTAACATGTAACAAGATTTGACAAATAATATTCTAGAGTCTGTCTAATTTTAATGGGCATATAAATTACCTAAGGTTGTCATTAATGCACGGATTCCTATTCAGTAGGTCTAGGAATGGGTATCAGATTCTGTATTTCTAAGCTCAAATGTGATGCTAATATTGCTGGCTTGTGAACCACACTTTGAATAGCAAAGTATCTAGAACAGTGGATCTCAGTCTTGGCTTTGAATCATCTGAGGTACTTTTAAAAATACCTATGCCCCACCCACAGAGATTCTGATCAGTATGGGGTTTGGCCATCAAAATGTTTTTAAAATTCCTGGGTTTTAATGGTGAGAGCCACTGTTCTAGAAAAACTGACATAATGTATCCAACCACAGGAAAAAAAGAACAAAATGATAGAGGCCGAGGGAACCAGCTTATTTTTGTTTGTTTACAAATCACTTCTAAGATAATGTGAATATATTTTCTCCAATATTAGAAGAGAATGAAAACTCAAAGTAACCATGAAAGCTAATTCCAACAGATATTCCATTCTTAGAGTTTACGAGGGAGCCTCTCCTAACTACACAGATGGAGCTGGAGAAAGAGAAATCTACCCAGCTTTGTCTTTATCATACTCCCAGGCCCCACTTCATGAAACAAAAACCCCTAAAAATGTGGGAGACACTTTCGTACCTCCACTCTCCACTGAATCAGAGATGACCATCCTTCCAACATGCTAGTGTAGGAGACTCAGAGTAGTCTTTATATACTCCCCACTATCAATCAATCTACCCTGACATAAGTACAATATATCTGGGGAATTTTAATGCCCATAACTATACACAGCAATGGAGACAAACAGCACACTGAGGGCCCTGTCTCTCTAAGAACTCTTAGGATAAAGCTGGATATACATAGTATGGATATCTTTGCCGAGTAAAAAGAAAAAAATCTGGGAGCCTGTAAAACACTACAAATCAATGAAAGTCAAAATAATCTTGATGGCCCAAAAGAAGATCATTACCTCTGAAAATCATGTGCTTCAGAATCAAAAGAAAATGTCCAGAAATAATGGAGACCATCAAATGACTAAACACACAGGCTCTCAAGCAAGAAAAGTGTTAGTCATTCAGTGGTGTTTCATTCTTTGCGACCCCATGGACTGTAGCCCATCAGGCTCCTCTGTCCATGGGATTCTCCAGGCAAGAATACTGGAGTGGGGACTTCCCTGATGGTCCAGTGGTTAAGAATATGCCTGCCAACGCTTCTGGGACACGGGTTAGATCCCTGGTCCAGGAAGATTCCACACGCTGCAGTGCAATTAAGCCTGTGAGCCACAACGAAGAGTAGCCTCATTCACTCACTTAGAGAAAGGCCACAAAGCAAGGAAGACCCGGTGCAGCCAAAACTAAAACAAATAATTAAAAAAAAAAATACTGCACTGGGTTGCCATTCCCTTATCCAGGGGGATCTTCCCGATTCAAGGATCAAACCTGGGTTTCCTGCATTCCAGGCACATTCTTTACTATCTGAGCCACCCAGGAACCTCATCAGGCAGGAAAACCAAAATCTAGGAAAGGACAGGAGGAAATGTAAAGAAAAATCAGATGAGATAAGAAATTAACTCAAGAAAAGTAAAAATACAACAGCAAAATGAAAACCCCTAATAGAAGTAGTAATATGCAGAAATGATACTGCAGATGATCAAATGAATAATGAGAGACTAACTTCAAGCTACAAAAAAAGGACAAAGAGCAGATATCATAAATCCAAGATACAGGTGTATTAATAATTCACAAAGAAGAGACCAAAGTAAGTGGAACAAAATCAGAAAAGACAGGAAAATGTGCAGACTGTAAGGGTGTTTTAATACATTCACCATTAGGCCTATCTTAGCAAGTTTTCTTAAATAAGAGAATGCAAAAAAAAAAATGTCTATAAGCATTCAAGCTTAAAAGAAATAAGTTTTTAAAATGAAAAAATATAGAGACTAAAAACTTCTCTGCAACACTTAGCAAAACCAGGTATTGAATAAAGCAATGGCTATAGAGTATTAAAATTGTTACCCCAAACTTCATATGCTAACTTAATCTCATATTTGAATACAATCTGACTGGGGCATGTGGGTTTGAGGCAGTTGGAAGGATGGATGACAAGAATAATCCAGTTGAAAAGAAGAAATCAACTAGCTTATAAATTGTGTAAATTTCCAGGTGGGAGGGAATAGGAAATAAACATAATTGAAAAGCAAACTCCCTTTTTGTTAAAGTGGAAAAAACTTAGCTGCAGATATAAGTATATGTTTATGTCTTTATGTGAGGGAAGTTGAGTGAATTCTTTATGGTGACATATTTTCCTTTTGAAGTAGAAAGCGGCTGCTAAGTAACTGTGAAAAAGGAGGCGTTAGAGAAGGATGAAGAGGATTGAAAAGTAATTATTACAAAAATTTTAAAAATGCAATAGAATTGGGAGAAAGTATTGGAAGGTTCACGTTAAGTAACAATTTTTTTTTGGGGGGGGGGCACACCTGTGCTGACCATGGATCAAACCCAGCTTGGCAGTGAAAGTGCTGAGTTCTAACCACTGGACCACTGGGGAATTCCCACTTGAGTAATGAATTTAAATTGCTACAATCTGCCTGTTGAATGACTACATCTTGCAGAGCATGCCTACCAGGGGAAATAGGCACATGGAGGAACCCCAACATAAATATGCTTTTTAAGGTAGAAGTGAAGGTATGGATAAAACTAAAACAGGGAACCTAAGGTAATTTAGAATATTAGCAAAAGTACTACTAAAATTGGACATGAAATCAGAGTAGAATAAGGAAATAAATGTAACATGGATAGAAAAAAAGGAGAGAGGCCAAGTAGTTGAACAAGCAAATAAGGAGAGAAGCTGTGGTCAGAGAGCAAAATGAATGAATTAGTGACTTCAGAGGAGGCGTGACTACAGGTAAGTGAACAAGGTGCAGTGAAGGAGGTCACAGGAAGTGGGACGGTCAGACAACTGAAAGTCAAGTTCTTAATTATGTCATATACACAGACTGTCATGGTACTCAGGAATTGTTAGTAACTTCCATATCACTGTGCTTTGATATTCTGTATACAGTTGACCCATGAACATTGTGAGAATTAGGGGAACTGACCTTCCTCCCAGTTGAAAATTCATGTATAATTTATGGTCACTCATATCTGGTTCCATATCCATGGATTCAACCAACCACGAACAATGTAGTGCTGTGGTATTTACTATTGAAAAAAAAAATTCATGTACAACTAGACACTCCAACTTCAAATCTGTATTGTTCAAAGGTCAATTGTACACTTTCAAAGGAATAACATTTAAAATAATAGAAATTTCACATCTTAAGAGTGAAATTTGGATAGCATCAGCAGTAGTGTAAATGAGAACTTGATAAAGACATTTCCATCTGGATTTTCAAATTACTTAGAGCAAGCACTATTATTTGTATAAATTATCAAGGATTAATACAATAAATTCTACTACTTAAGTGTATTTCCTCAATCACAAATCTAAGGTAATTCTCACCTTCACAAAACAGATGCACAAGAGAAAAAGATTAAATGTTCTCTCTCCCACTTCTCCCCCATCTGCCCAACATCTTTTATAAAGGTATAAACAATTTTATGAGTATGAAGTATTACTGCTAATTATGGATTGTCTAAACAAGTATAATATTACAATGATAAATTTAATTAAAACAAAGAGGAAGATTCTTACCAAAGGAAGGTGACTCCCTTCCATCCTCTAGTCCTGAATCTCTCTCTCTGTCTCTCTTTCTGTGTTTATGACCACGATGCCTGTGACGTCGATGGCTTTTTCTTCCTCCCAGGGGCACATGAACGCCAATAAATAGTGTCCGATGACCTTTATCAGAAGTAAATACACAAATTAAGCTTTGGATTATTCCAAGGTACAGAAGATGATTATTTACTTGTTATTTGAAACCCAATACAATTCAATCCATCAAATGGTTCTTGAGTATTTATGATGTGCTAACCTTGTAGCTTAGCACTGTACTTTGGTACCTAGGTCTATCAAACATCCACAATACTAAGTATTTGGTTATACAGTATTTTATAAGCACCATTATTTTATTAACTATCACAGTAATTCCCCGTGTCTATTCCCCATAATTTATATTTTTTTCATTAAAATTTTTTTGTTCTATTTTCTCCCTGCACTTAACTAACCAGTTATTTTACCAGTTCACTTCCCTTCACAGTTAAGTGTGTGAAACGATCATGATCTCTAATTAAAACAGATTTTACCAAGATCCTAATAATGTCAAATCCTGTGGAATGTTTAGGCTCTGCTGTTTCTATATGTGGCACTTGATACTATTGACCATTTTCTTCTTTATGATTTAACTTTCTCGAGGTCATCCTCCTCCTTTATTTTTCTTTTTTTGCTCAAATTAGTTTCCTTTTCTGGCTCTCCTTGTATTTATTCATTCAAGATTGGGATCCCCAGGATTTGACACCAATTCTCTCTTAGACTATAGACTTACATAACCATCCATCCACCTATTAGACATATTTACCCAGACATCCTTCCCATAAGCATGTTAAATTCCATGGAACTCATCCTTTACTTTGTCCCCCAAGTATCATCTATCCAACATCTATCTCAGTAAATGCAAGATCTGTCCAGTCATCTCAAAGCACATCCAGTTTGTACCCAGGTCCTCCTTTACATCTCATTAATTCATTCTCTCTTCAATTTCACTGGTGCCACTGTCTTAATTTGGACCCTCATCTCTCAACAGGACTATTACAGCATTCTCCCTAGCATTTTCTTTTCTAATTCCAATCTTGTGCCATTCTGAATACTGATGCCATTTTTTCCCAAAATGCAAATCTGACTACGTAACTCCCCTGTTTTAGACTCATTGATTGCTTTCTGTTGCCTAAAGGATAAAGCTTTTAGTATCTATAAAGCCAAACAATAGCTGACATCTGCCTATTTCTCTAGGCTTCCACTCTGCCACACACATGATAAGGCAGCATGTATCCTTTCATTCCTAAATTGCCAGGCGTTCTCAAGTCTCTCTTTCACTTAATGCTGGTACTGTCCCTCCAATTGTATGAAATATCTTTGTCTTTCCTGATGAATACCTAACTCATCTCCCAAATCTCAGTTCAAGGATTATGCCATCTATGAAATTTTCATACTCCCTTAATCTAAATATACATGACAGTTTTTCCCCTTAGGATCCTCTGGTGTTTTAATCATATACATCAAAGCACTTGATTGTAGTTGTTTACTTATAAGTAGTTTTCTTATGAATCTTCTTTAGGGAAGGTCCGTGTGTCAGTTATTTCATATCTCTGTCACCTGACACAGTGCCTAGCATATAACGGATACCTAGCAAATGTTTACTGAAATGAACAACTAATTGAATGGTATTGTGATGGGTATCAGGGATACAAATATAAATAAGACATTATTTTATTCATACATATCAGCTGGTTTCAGCCTTCCCCAATTTATATAAAAACTAGCATTCATAAGTGTGGTATATTGCTCTGAATGTATATATTAGAAACAATTTGAAGATGTGAACCCACCCCCTCAAAAAGACACGATTTAATCTATATACTGAAGAAACTGTAAATTTCCAACATCTTTATTTTAACCGAACTGGAACAATCTAAAATACACACAGAAAAACTTTAAAGAAAAATAATCAGCATTATTTACAATTGCGAAGATATGGAAGCAAACTGTATCCATCAGCAGATGAATGGATAAAGGTATGATATATATCTGTGTGTGTGTGTGTGTGTGTGTGTGTGTGTGTGTTCAGTCACTTCAGTCATGTCCAATTCTTTCCAACCCTATGGACTGTAGCCTGCTAGGCTCCTCTGTCCATGGGATTCTCCAAGCAAGAATACTGGAGTCGGTTTCCATGCCCTCCTCCAGGGGATCTTCCCGACTAAGGGATCAAAGACTCCTCTCATGCATCTCCTATATTAAGGTTAATTTCTTATCACTGAGCCATCAGGGAAGCCCTGTGTGTGTGTGTGTGTGTGTGTGTGTGTGTGTGTGTATATATATATATATATATGTATATATATATATATATATACTCACACAAAATTAAATACTACTTAGCCATTAAAAAAGAATGAAATTTTGCCATTTGTAACAACATGGATGGATCTGGAAGGCATTGTGCTAAGTGAAATAAGTCAGACAGAGAAAGACAAATACTGTAGGATATCTCTTATATGTGGAAACTAAAATACAACAAACTAGTGAATACAATTTAAAAAGAAGCAGATTGACAGATATAGAGAACAAACTAGCAGTTACCAATGGTGGGGGGAAATCTAGAAGAGAGGGAGTGGAAGGTACAAACTATTGGACATAAGACAGGCTAAAAGATGTATTGGACAACACAGGGAATATAGCCAATATTTTGTAATAACTATAAATGGACTATAGCCTTTAAAACATATAAAAATAAAAATTTAATGAATTAATTAAAAAGAAAATAACAAAAGCCTTTTGAGGAAGCTCTAGGAAGGAGAACTTACAAGGTAACAGGACATACCATAAAGTTAAATATTTAAAATAAGTCACAAACATTGGCATTTAACAATAATTTTAAATTACTTGGACATCACTACATTGTAATCCTCTGCTCTAGTAAGTTGAAGGCTATTAACCATGGAGAAGGTATAAAGCAACAAAGATTGAGACTTGCATAAAACACTGAATAGTTAACAGAAAAAAAATCAAAGATATAAGAAACAATTTAAGAAAATGAAGACATGAATTTCCAATTAAATTAAACATGGGAGATTAAACACCTGCTTCTAACCACATGAAAAGCTTCTGGGGTGCTAAAAATGTTCTGTTTCATGATACAAGTTTTTGGTTTAAAAATATTTGTTAAACTTTGTACATAAGCTTTATGCACTTTTCCATATGTATGCTTCAGCTCACAATTTTAAACATTTTAAAAGAAACCAAAGAAAAAGAGTTTTAAGAAATTATATGCTATAAAGGAGTCAAACAAAATTGACTAAAAATTAGCTATTACAGTTGGAAATTAATGTTTATCTGTACCTTTCCTGAGAGCAGTTTCAGTGGATAGGGAAATGAATAAAAGTTGTTTAAGTTTAGACAGTGACCATTTCCAAGAGCTAAGCCTTAAAGGTTGTAAAGGTTTCTATCAATTGTTAATTGCTACTGCTGCTAAGTCGCTTCAGTCATGTCCGACTCTGTGCGACCCGACAGACAGCAGCTCACCAGGCTCCTCCGTCCCCGGGATTCTCCAGGCAAGAACACTGGAGTGGGTTGCCATTTCCTTCTCTAACGCATGAAAGTGAAAACTGAAAGTGAATTCACTGTCGTATCCGACTCTTCATGACCCCAAGGACTGTAGCCTACCATGCTCCTCCGTCCATGGGATTTTCCAGGCAAGAGTACTGGAGGGGGTTGCCATTTCCTTCTCCAACAATTGTTAATTAAGAAAGCCATTACCAGACAGTCTATGGCGTTGCAAAGAGTTGGACACGACTGAGAAAATGAACTGAACTGAACTGAACTGATTACCAGACAAAGATAAGGAGAATAGTGGACCTGATCGGCCAGTCCAGAGGGCATGGTTGAGTATAATAAATATTGCCTTTGTTTGTAGAATGTGAATATCATGGGCAATTGCCAGAAGTAATATCCTAAGAAGTTGCCAAGTCAAGGCTGAAATAAACAATCTGAAACTATATCCAAATATATTCAGATAAGAAGAGGACACCAAGACACAGGGCTGAACTAATGTCTTTAGTTCAGAAAAGAAAGAACACTCTGAAAGAATTTCCTGACACAGAATCCTACAGGGCTGGTTAAAAAGAAAAGACTCATTTGTTTTTTTCACTATTAGTGTAATTGATGGATTATATGGTAAGCTTACGTTTACCTTTGTTAGAAACTACCAGGCTATATTCCAAAGTAATTGTACCATTTTGCATTCCAATGAGCAAAGAACAGGAGATCCTGTTGCACTACTTCCTTGCCAACATTTGATGATGTCAATGTTTTTTATTTTAGCCATTCTAATGGATGTGTAATGGTATCTCATTGCTTTAACTTGCAATTCCCTAATGACATGTGATGCTGAGCATCTTTTTATATGCTTATTTACCATCTATATATTTTCTCTGCTGAGATTTCTCTTCAGATCCTTTCCTATTTTGTAATTGGATTATTTTCTTATTGTTGAATTTTAAGAGTTTTTTATATATTTGGGGTAACAGTCCTTTATCAGTTATCTTCTGCAAGTGTATTCTCCTGTCTGCAGCTTGTCTTTTCAATCCTGTAACAGTGTCTTTCACAAAGTAGAAGTTTTCATTTTAAAGAAGTCTAATTTATCAAAATTTTTTCATGGATTGTGCTTTTTGTTGTTGCATATAAAAAGTCACCTCCAAGCTCAAGGTCACCTAGATTTCCTCCTATGTTATCTTATAGAAGTTGTATAATTTTGGTTTACATTTGGGTAAATGATCCATTTTAGGTTAATTTTTGTGAAAGGTGTAAGGTCTGTGTGTAGATCTTAATCTAAGTGCTAATTTACTCACTAGCCATTTTATGCCATGAGTTGAAAACTAATGCCTACGCAAAAGCATGCACACAAATTGTTATAGCAGCTTTATTTATAATCATCAAAAACTGGGAAACAACCAAGATGTCCTTTCCTAGGTGAATGAATAAACAAACTGTGGTACATCCATGCAATGGAGTATCATCAATAACAAAAACACAGAGGAAACTTAAATTCATATTGCTGAGTGAAAGAAGTCAGTGAAAAAGCAACATACTCTAAGATGTTAACCTGTATATGACATTCTGGAAATGGTAAA